CGATTTGAGGAACCGATATGAATATTGTTGGTCGTATTGCTTACAACTTTCGTAGTGCTTGTTCAGTAGCTTGTATATCGCTCGTAGTCGCCAAATCATGTGACAGAACAACTGATCACGTGTTCGATCGTACGTTATTGCTGCAACCTACATTTGGGCGGCTGAGTTGACGGAAAGTACACAGTGATAAAACTAACTTTACTGATCTCTCTCAGAATAATCACTGAATTCTTAACATCACATATATTGTTAAAAAAAATTTAAAAATTTAAAAGTATGGTTCCTAAGGTTCAAGTACACTCCACGAAAGATTTAGCCCTCATTTAGCGACGAAATGATATTTCAAATGCGAAATGTTGGTTGCCTTTATTCTATCACCCATTTCATTTATGTCGAACGGCAAATCACAGTGGTCATGGGTCTTTGTCGGTTCGTTTACAAGACAAAAACATGGAGATCAAGCGCAATTGCATGTCACATCCGGCAATTAGCGAAAGGACTGGATAATGGTGGTCAAGTCGCCACGTCAATGCCGGTCATCTTAGCAGCTTGTATGGTGTGCTAGCACAATGCTTAAGAGTCAGATTTCGAACTCCTGCAATGCAGGTTCGGTTCCGGCAGGGGGCAATCTCTGCTTCAACAATGAATTCCCTTCAGCATACGTTTATTCACACTGGCGTTACTCAACCAGTAAAACTTTAGACTAGACTCAGAACTGACAAGTCCTAGGTTCGAGGACCGGTGTCAGATAAAAAGCACTAGTCTCTCATCCTCCTGAGGTTGACAATTGAGTACCAGTCTGTGAGAAAGGAACAGGAAACTTCACACTTGTTACATAGCTGCTGCCTATTGTGGTTTAAGAAAAATAAGACTCTCCTTGCTGATGGCATGGAAATGGGGATCGTCACCGAACAATCAACTTCACGAATAGAAATACACCAGAAAAGCCTCAGAATAAAAGTGTAAAGAAGAACTGCGGTCCAATGGTTACAAACGTTCCTTACTTACCTTTCTCGGCATCGCGTTTTATATGATACCTATGGATCAGCTTCTGGGTAAGTTACAATCACTCGTTGTAAATACTTCCATTCTCATTTGGCCGAACTACTTCAAACCATATTATAATTTTTCATCCAGGAAATCATCATGGATATATAGGTGTAGTGAAGGGTGCCGCTCGTTCATTTATGGTGCTAAGTACCTATAGTACTAATTGGATCTGTGCGGATACCCACGGTTGGATTCAGTGTCATTCAGCTATCCTTGCATGAGCAGTTATTTCACTTCCTTTGCACTGGAGCTAAATGCCTCTAAGACAACGGCGATTTGTAGCTAGATGTGAAACGTGGACGAGATGATTCTTTCTGAATCATCAGTTAAACAGTTCACCTCAGTAAGTAAGGCCGTCAAGTCTTCTAAATATCTTTGAATCATGCCATCTTCTGAATTTTCCTGCCATCAGAAAGTTAACAGCATAACCAGACATCGTCGTTCAGCTTCTTTCTATTTAAAGCGGCTTCGCAAATTGCATGCTCTCCAGCATATCGAATTAAGAATTTGACTTGTTAAGTACCTGACCACTTTTCACTTGCTCAGTGGCAGTCCTCTACCCTGGTTTTCTCCTGCGACTTTCAGTGTTTACGGCGGAACTTCTTCCCGAAGTTGAACTTTCCACAGTTAGCAACATACCCCTTTCAGGGCTGATCCTGGGCGTCGTCAGTCAGTCAGCGTCTGAAAATGGTCGCATGGCCAGCAATATCACAAACGATCCACATTCTTTTGCTCCAGCTTTCCGAGCGTTTGCCACGCGGCCGCTCTGCAAAACAAAACCGGGTTTTGTAGTCATTTGTTCGACCGAACAATAGCCCCGACCCATGGGTACTAAATCCCCGACACTCTTTACATTTAAGACACTATAATGGAATTGTTTTGGAGTGCAATAGATTGGCTCTTGTGCATTTGTTCATCGTCTGTGTTCTGTTCAGCGTCAATCATCATTGGAACAAACGTTTCTTGCTCGGTTCTGTTGCTTTAAATATCTTATGTTTATCTCTGGTTCTGTATATCTGTAGTCAAAATCTGCTGAAAATTATGTCTTATAATTCTATTAAGACAGTAAAACCTTTCTTCATTCTAACCTACTCATAGTATATAGTATACTTCCGTTGCAAAATATACCGTGTAACCCGATCGCATGAGGTACCATCAGGTAATACCTGATACCCTACCAAGAGTGGCGGTATTCCAATTCCGCCGCCGCCAAATGATAACTTTCTAGAACGGATGCAGAAAGATTTACTCGGCAAAAAGTCACTTACTTTACGTCAGTACTACGGCAAGTTCGTTGGTGTCGATTATGTTATTATTCGATCAAATACTGACATTCGCTATATACGACCCATTTAATGCATGGACCTAAATGTCACGGGGTCGTGAGCCGCATATCTAGACCCATTGGCGACTAGAAGCTAGGGGCGGTGCAATACTGCCACTGATGTAAGGTGAGAAATAGGTTTTTTTTTCTTTACACTATGCATTTTCACAGTTTCAATCCGGTATCGTTATTGCTTTGAATATGTTTTATTGCACTTGTTTTAACTCTTTATTCAAAATGGTTTATATGTTTTACTCAGCAACTTGGAGAAGGCCTCTCTAAATCGAGATTCAGATTTCCAGATGGTTTTCGACTCAGTTTACATCCTTCCTGTACAGGACTGGTTAAAGAGCCAGGAAATCGAGAAAAGATGCAGAAACTTCATCGCCATGATTTACAAGAATGCAACTGTTAGTTTAAAGCTTCACGAAAGTTCAGGCCAGTTTAAAAGTCGCAACGGCTGTTTGCGAAACGCAGAGAAACACAATATCACTGTAGTCATTTGCCTCAACCTTAAATAAGATTTTCAAGATACTAAGTTGTGAAAATTTGAAGCTGACATAATTGGGCACTACGGGCTCCTGGCCATTTGCGGACGATATTCTGATCTTCTAAAGTCCACAAGAAGAACTCTAAAAAAGAATCCAACAGCTAAAAGACACCGCTATGAAAGTAGGACCGTAAATGAGCCTGAAAAGGACTCGTGCCTTGTTCAACCAACACGTAGCCCGCGACCTATCGAAGTCAACGGACTTGTGTTCGAAGAACTACAAAACTGTGTTTATCTGAAGCAGATTATCTCTGCAACTGAAAGCCACCATATGAAATCAATAGAAGATTAAATATGACATCGCGTCCTTTCGGAAGAGCGAAAATTCTTTCAGCCGAAACATCGTCGTTTTGTTTGATTCGAAAAATATTAGATCACCGGGTGTTCCCAGTGCGAACCTTTGAGTGCGAAATGTGGACTCTGGACTCTAAGCCTGAACGGCATTTGTAATCAGCAGTCTGCGAAATGCAGCGCTGAAAGATGTTTATCGGGAATGGCAAGAAACGATGGGAAAACGAATGAAAGGGTATGGGCATAACGTCTGCGATGTCAGGAGTCTGTCATGACATTACCTGGTTGAAGAAGTTCAAGTAGCGATGAACAGCAGACATTGTAAGAAGTATTTTGTCAAATCAATTACTGTATTTGTTGCCTAAACAAACAGTTTCGCAAGTACGCGTACGTTTTCATGTAGAATGGCAATCAGTCCATGTCTGCATTGACTGAACCTCATAATCTTTCCTTTTGATTGACGGCATGATCCTCAGTTAGCAGGCTTTAGTACACAGAGCTAACCAACCGTGATATCAAACCAGCAGGGGATATTAAGCAATGAAATCCAAACTTTACACAAGTGAAAAATCTATCTCCCTTTTCGACTGAATATCTGTGAAAATTGTGACAAACATAATCTTTTTTTGTTTATCACAGCATGACAACGCATTGTGTCTTAGGCTGATGCAAGTAACCTTGGAGGGAAGTGCTTACATAAGTTACCGGTGGACTGTATGATGCGGTTAAATCACACAGATTGTAAAAATTAACATGATCATCCCTGATCCGACATGCGTGGGAGTTATTGAGCTATCGCTGTGTTCATGCACTCAGTCAAAATGACCAAGATTCGTCAAATAGGCTGATTTAAAAACGAAAGTTTCTTGAGAATTGCTGGCATTTTTGACATTGCAGCTGACCTACGAGATCAGCCTTTTTTGACGATATTTGTTTTCAGCGATAAAAGAAAAACACGGAGCGTTCGTTCAACTCCATGCTGGACCTGGACTATTGATGAAAAGCATATAGATCACTTTATGCTAATGCGATGAATCATGTCAGATATCGATCTCTGTATTAAGTACCTGGATTGGAACAATGGAACTGGAGTCTAATCCACCGTTAACTAGTCCATAACGGATTTTCAGAAATCTCAACGGTTATGTCGACCGAGAAATTCGATTACCTCCCCGTTTCACTCATAGCCACTCCTTTTGCTGGCGACTGCCGATTCGCAGCAAAGCCAAAAATAGATTCTGTCACTGAAGGGTTAATGCACATCGTTTCAGGCGGCAAACGTAGAAAGTCTAATTCAAATCTTATCGATTCTAGCTGCAAATCTGCGGTGGAGTATCGCCTGACTGCAAACTATGTTCGTTGCATGAAAAACCTTTGTACGCCGTCCACAGGAAATGGCTTGAGACAAAAATGAGAGCAAGGCACGGCAGCATAAACCAGAAAAAAATGGCTACCGTCGACTTTGATGTTAGCGAAGTATGTGGAAAGAGGCCACAA